TCTCCTCCTTTGAAGTAACTCAAATTTTTAATTTCAATGAACTCAATTTTAAGGCAATCAGGTTACTTTAAAGTCCCTGTAAAGTCAAAATTTTGTATGTGTTCTGAGTTTGTCACACCACAGAAAAATGTGTTATTAGCCACCCTGCCAAATTTGAATGATAAAAAAGCCAGCAAGTACATAAAATAAGCTATCAAAATCTTGAAAAAATGAGCAGTATTCTCTGCTCTCAAACGCTGGGGGCGTGTCCGCTGGCTGCGCTGAAACCACGCCCACTCGCGGGAAAGCTGCCGTCGCCACACTCAACTCTACAGCCGGAATAGATGCTCGCACGGTGGGCACGCACTGCCGATGATGGCACCAGTTGTCGGCGCGACGGGAGGATGAATGCCGAGGCGGAAGATAGTCGGTCCCATTCACCAGTAACAGCGGATTATCAGTGAATGTCTCAGTTGTCTCCGAACTATCCCGTGTAAAATGATCACTTACAGAGGCGGGTTTTGGCAGTGATCCTCAGCTCTCCATCAACCTTGGCTCTTCACAAAATTAATCCACTTCTTCTTGATGTAATCGTTTTTCGGAAATTTAAATAAGGACACCGATCTGTTTTGTATGTGATCCGGTGATCGCATCCAGGTAGTAGGCCTACGCATTTCCGTGACGAAGGCATAGCTAGCTAGCAATCTGTAGGCTGCTGTAGGCTAGTAACTAATAGTACTGACCGTAACTCACGATTGAGCGGCAAAACTGATGTGAATGTGCTCTATATTGTTAGGGGAGCGGACAGCCTCAGTGGCTCCAGTGCGTCATCAAGTAGGGGCGTGTCCAGGAGCTCAAGGGCTCCAGTGCGTCATCGAGCCCCGTTTTAGCCCCGCCCAAAAAATCCGGAAAAATAGCAATGGTGAAAAACTGTTTAACGGTCTAACTCCACAATTCAGTACTTCACAGTTCACAGTCTTTGTAATATGTTTTAGCAATACATTTCTAACATTTATAATGTGTTTAGAATTTTTTTTTTTTTATTGCCTTTACAGGGACTTTAAGTTAAACCAACAACATTTATTTTTTACATGGAATGACAAAAGCACATAACAAAATGACTAAAACTTAAATTAAAATGATAAACTGAACATAGAATAAATACTATAATGGTAAAGAAACAATCCTAAAATAGCACTAAGAATAACAGCGCCACAGAAACAATTGCGTCCCTTGATAGCGTTTACGATGCCAGCATTGTTTTGTCAATGCAAATCAGGTACTGTTTAACATGCTGAAAAATAGCATCCATTGTTCATCTGGATGTATGTCTGCTCCGTTTTCGGCATCATTTAAACATCTAATGAATCTGATTAGCTGCTGCCATGATCAATAGAAAACATTAATCAACAAGTCTTTATAAAATTCTGTTTGACATGTTTCCTGTGGACATTAATAGCTCCACAGAAATTGAACCAGGATTTCTGTAAATAAGGTTCAATCAATAATAAGCCTACTTTACATAAAACATAGGCATGTTTGTACTGAAAATAAATGTAATCACTTCATTTATATACTTCCAAGGTAACACCACAGACTACTTTAGTGAATTTGGCCCCAGCGAGCTCCAATGACTAACAATCCTTATTTCACAGCTCTCTGTAATACTTAATTCTGATTATGGCATCCTGCAATCAAATATTTTTTTTAGAAAATTACCACTAAACTGTACAATTGACTGCAGTTCAAGGAAACGGATTAGCTGTGCTAGTATCAAGTCTCTCGTATCAGCCTCTTTCTTCTCATGTTATTTTGTGATAAGTTGACTGCATTTTATCCAATACAAATAAAACTTCTAGATTACAGTGACATCAAGGCTGCAATATACAACACAAAACACAATTGGCATTGTAATGCAGGGCGACTCATAAATACACATAAGCACACACATGTGGTCCTATGTGTGCTGAATGGGGCGATTAGAGAGCAGTGATGTGTAATTGAGGATATGGCCTGTAAACGTGGGTTGGTAATTACACTGGGCAGCTTTTCTCTACGGCCTCTACAGTAATAGGTAAAGTGATAATGGAATTAGTGATTGCCACTTATACAAGAAGGACTCGCGCTAGCCTCCATTAACCGTACACACTCATCTATAGACCTGAGCGCACACACACACAGTCTTTCTTTCACACACTTACAGCACATAGAATCAGAGCACGCAACAGCAGCATTTAAATGCAAATGCCTCTGATTAAAAGGTAAAATTGAGCAGGTTACAACCAGTCCCATTCGTGTCACCCTGCACATCTTATCTCACGCTTGCCGTCACCAAATAAACAACAATTTATTTTTAGTTGACACTTCCATCTCTTTTTTTTTTTTTTATCTAAAAAGCACGTAGGATCCAAACAGGTGGTTTGGTGTTTAAACATCCAAGAACCTTTTTACTTTCATATTGATTTTTGTCCCTTCTGTCCTTCTCTATTTGTCCCTTTGGCTGAGTGTAATAGATAGAGACATTCGTGTAGCAGAGGTTTAATATATAGGCAGGCAGGAATATAATTTAAGAGGTCGGTGAGAATGACCCTTATATCAAGAGGACAGATCAGACTTCATTCTGTGTTGGAGCACGTCCAAGAGTCTGAAAAACACGTACACACATATACAAACTGGCAAACGCAAAGGGAATAAGAAGGAAAAGCGACAGAAGATGAAAGAGACAATAACACGTATCTTTGTGATAAGGGCCAGTGGCGCGTTGGGGTTTGACTATTTATTTGAAGATGAGAGAACACTTTTTTTTTTTTTTTTTGCAATTAAAAGCCCCTTGAATGGTTCTTCTGGGATGGGGAAAAATTGTTCAAACAAAAAAGAGAATTATAGTTTAATTAAAAGCCAACTAGGCTGGAGAACACTGGGAGAAAACCAACACAAAGGAACATATACAGTGGGGACCACAATTTTGAGAGCACTAGTGAAAATACGTATTTTTTGCATGTTTTAAAATGTAATAAAAATGTATTTATTGTTATTTAATTTTTAAATTATGAAATGATCTTTTTAAAATAAAAAAGTAAAGAATTGACAAATAAATAAAATAGTTTTTATTTTAAAATATTTTAATAATTAAAAAGTATATTATGAGAATAACAATTTTAGTGAAATTGTTTAAAATCCTAAATCATATTTTGAAGCCCATATTTTTTATGTGGTCTCAGACTTCTGTATATTAGATCAATGTGAATATTAAATCTGTGTGAGTTGAACACATATGATGTTTTTCCTCAGTTTTATATCAGATCCTTCATGCAAATTACTGTCTTGAAGATCAACTTACATTTTATATCCACTGCAGGATGTTATTTAAAGGGTTAGTTCACCCAAAAATGAAAATTCTGTCAGTAATTACTCACCCTCATGTTGTTCCAACCCCATAAGACTTTCGTTCATCTTCGGAACACAAATTAAGATATTTTTGATGAAATCGGAGAGCTGTCTCACTCCTCCATATGCTGCTAGGCAATTTCATTGTTGCGCATGCGTCGTGGCGCTCTCGTGAACTCACGTCAGAGGCCCACACAGAAGAAAATGAATAGTTGAAATAAAGTCGTTATTTTTATTTTTTTTCGCACAAAATATTCTCGTCGCTTGATAAACTTGGTTGAGCCACTGTAGTCACTTGGACTATTTTAACAATGTTTTTACTAACTTTTCTGGACCGGCAAAAATGAAATTACCAAGCAGCCTATGAAGGAGTGAGCCAGCTCTCAGATTTCATCAAAAATATGAAAGATGAACGAAAGTCTTACGGGGTTGGAACAACATGAGGGTGAGTAATTACTGACATAATTTTCATTTTTGGGTGAACTAACCCTTTAATGCAGGGCAACAGTACATTTAAATGGCTCATTAACTCTCTTAAAACAGTGTATTGGCCAGTCAGCGTAATCTTAAGCTGATATTGCTGGATTCTGTGCATAATGACTGAATAATACTTCCTGTGCTAAGAGGAAGGTGAATAAATATTCAGCGTGTCCCTGTTGATTTCCCCAAAACAAGAAATGGATTGAAAAAATGCATTTTATAAGACCAGGGGAAAGACTACTCAGTTTTCACAATGACCTTATAGGAGGTATTCGCCAAGAAAGCAAGTTGTTATACCAGTGAACCCTGATGTGCAGAGAGAGCGAGCGAGAGAGAGAGAGAAAGAAACAAATAAATTTCCACCCCTCCGGTGCTGTATGTACAGTGAACACAACAACACATCAATCTTTCTCCTTCCCGTCACATAGTGAGGCTGAAGAGATTGAAGCCCAACTGTCAGAGGTTTCAACCACAGCAACAGAGCAAAAAAAAAAGAGAGGAAAACCATGCAAAAGACACCAAAATGTTGTCAAGACTGTTTTAAGTATCCCTTCCATGTTTCATGATTTCATAAAAATTGTAATATTGATTGTCAAGCAAGATGCTGTGGAATAAAAAGCCGTATTTATATTAATAGATTTCACTTGCCACAATAATGTGATGTCTTTAAACTTTCTATTCATCAAAGGATGCTAAAAAAATGTATCATGGTTTCCACAAAAATATTAAGCAGCACTGTTTTAAACAATTATAGTAATAAGAAATGTTTCTTGATCATGAAATCATCATATTAGAATGATTTCTGAAGGATCATGTGACACTGAAAACTGGAGTAATGATGCTGAAAATTCAGCTTTGATGTCACAGGAATAAATGACATTTTTAAATATATAACAATTGAAAACAGGTACTTAAAATTGCAATAATATTACTGTTTTTACTTTATTTTTGATCAAACAAATGCCGCCTTGGTAAGAATAAGAGAAAAAAAATCGATGGCCCTTAGCAAAGCTTGGCTTCAAAAAACCATCTTTTTACAGTACAACTATTAGTTATATTTATTACTCCAACTGTTTAAAATGTCTTGACATACTGTACTAATGAGCTGACATACTAATATTCATGTTTAAGACTCAGGAAAAGAGATTACTCACCTTGTTCACAATCAAATTCCTCTACAGTGGAGACGAAGTGAGGTCTGGAGTAAAAGTTGTGGGGTCCTGGCTGCTGGAGGCCGCCCAGGCTGAAAAACGCCCTGTCGCTGGCAGCGCATGAGGAGAACGCTCTGCGGCTGGGGATGCACGGGTACCGCGTCCAGCTCTTCGTCTCAAGGTCGAAGGCCTCGAATGCGGTCACTGGCAGCTTGCCTTGACGCCCACCTGTCGAAGGGGAAAGTAAGAAGAGGGTTGGAGGATTAAGAGTGAGTATATATGTGTGTGTGTGTGTGTGGTGGCGGGTGGAGGGGTGGTATCTCTCTGATAGGACTTGTGTCACGTCTGTCCCTGCTGGGAGCCAGTGTGTGTGCGATTACCACATATCACGACTCACTGACAACGCTTTGGTCTCCTCAGACGAGCTGACAGCCTATATTATTGGGTCTCTGACACACACACACACACACACACACACACACACACACACACACACACACACACACACACACACACACACACACACCATATCTGGTTCACTACCTTTATGGGGACTCTCCATAGACGTAATGGTTTTTATACTGTACAAACTGTATATTCCCCTTACAATAACCCTACCCATCACAGAAAGCTTGTTTCCTTATGGGGACTCCCCACGGTGATACAAGTACCCACGAGTCTGTGTGCATTCAGGCTGTAGCCCCCACTGGGATAGAAAAACATGAACAAACATGAACAAACACACACACACACGCATCTAACAGCACACCTACAGCCAGTAGTGGACATTAACAAAGTATTTTTTACTTTTTTTCCAAGTATCTGTTATTTTCTTTATTTTGGTAAACTTTTATTTCACTACATTTCAATCCATAATATCAAACTTTTTACTCAATTACATTACATAAAAACATGTCATTCCTTGTTATTTTGAACTGAAGAAATCATCACCGGCTCAGAGATGCGACAGCTGTGTCCATTTCGTGAACGAGCTGATTCTTTTCAATTAACCTGTTCAATCGGTTCTCAAATCGCACTGAGCGATTCATTTGTGAATTAAACCGATGTGATTGCATCTTTTCTCGCGTCAACAACTCACTGATTCAAATGATCCGTCAGAGCGAGTCTCCAGTTATCAATTCACTGAATTCACAAGTCAGACTCAAAATGAGCAAAGAATGGGAGATCCTTGGAGCTTGAGTGCGCGAATGACTAATGGCACGAAAAGTAAGTTAATGACGAATTTTAGGATTTATTATTGTAAATGAAATTTAGGTCACGACTGTCAGTTGTCCCCTGCTTACAAAGAAGACGAAGGTGCATGACGCTTCTGACTACAACACAAATGATCATCCTAAGGAGTCAGTAACATATACACATGCAAGTAATGAAGAAATAGAAAGCCACATTCCGTAGGACACATTACTATTGTCAACTAATGGTTTTGTTTTGTTACATTAATGCATTTGGCAGACACAAACCAAAACAAACCCCATGATCTTATCATTGCTAGAATTAGACAAAAAAAGCTCAACTAGAGTGCTCAACCACAAGAAAACAATCACAGAAGGGAAAAATAGAAAATAGAACAATTATTTATTGCACTTTCACCAAAAGTGATGTTTCAAACCATATTCCAATTTCATCCCTAAAGATATCAAATGCTCTTATTTCTCTTGAGGTCATGTGAACGTGGTGTTTTTTATAATGTTTTGTATGTGGAATATGTTTGAGGAGCTTGTTCTTATTGGGATTTTTAAACTGCAGAAAAATGATAAAACAATTAGCTCTTCTCAGTGATAACACAATGAATCTGTAAGTTCGACCTCTGAGAATGTAGCTACAGTAGCAGACATTAGTCACAGCTGACAGCATAGTTAATGTGATGAAAATAAAAATGAGGCTGTGATGGATGGAAGTTCATGTCATACTGTTACTGGGTACAAATCATTCAGCCGACAAGCACTGAAAATATGGTCACGGTGGACAAAACAATCTGGAACTTCTCAATAAATACAGCATTACATAGGATTTTAAAATACGCCATACTAGATGAACTGTCCTTTCTATTTCATCTGATATTAATTTTTCATTTGCCATCTGAGTCAAATAAAATATGGCAGGGTCTGAGGGTCTGGCAAAACTGAGGTCTAAAGCCAGTGGTTCTCAACTGGTTGGACCCTAATATAAAGAGATCTGCCATATAATATATAATAGTGCATTTAAAGGGATAATTCATCCAAAAATTAAAATGATGTCTTCGTTTACTCAGCCTCATGTCGTTTCAAACTTGTATGACTTGCTTTCTTCTATGGAACAAGAAAGAAGATATTTTGAAAATTGTTGAATAACCAGACAGTTTTGGCTACCATTGACGTCCATTGTATGGACAACAAAAACCCCACTGAGACATTTATCTAAATATGTTATTTTATGTTCCACAGAAAAAAAGCAAGTCATTCAGGTTTGGATGATGAGAAAACAATGACAGATCTTTCGCTTTTGGGAGAATTTAAACTAAAAATGATGCAAAATAAACAGGGGATAGGACTTGTCTCTCATGTTTTTGTTGTTGACGTTAAAGGTCAAGAAAGGTCTTCTGTCACTAGGTAAAAGCAGCCAAATTAGACAGATGCCAACATGGACATGTGGTGGGACATATCCTCATCTTTAAAAACCGTGAACAAAACTACACAAGGTGAAAAAAAAAAAAAGAAAAGAAAAATAAATCAACCACAACCACACTGCATTAAAAACATTACTGGTTGAGAACATGAAACCATAAAAATTCAAGAGACCACATTTGTCAACACTGTCAAACACTAACAAATTTAAATGTTGATTTCAGTGATTTTAAAAAGATTTCTGTTACTTTTCTACAATAAACAGTTTGGGTTCTACTTGAAGTCCAATGTTTAATCTGGGCCCTGAAACAAAATCAGTTGCGTCTGATCTATACAACAAATAGTACAGTGCAACATACATAAACCTCTCTGAAGAACAATGTAAAGTGTAAAACTCTAGGGTGTGATTGTTTATGTATGTGAGAGCTCAGAAGGAATCAAAAACTGTCACGTTTCAAGGTATGCCTTTGTTCCCCCTTCTTATTCTTCCCTTCTCGCACGTTCTCTTTCCTTGTCTATGCATTCACAATGTGACTGATCTCCTCCCAGCTTTGGCATTACTGAGAGCCCTCTGGGACACAACAGAGAGCCAGGGAAAAACACACACAAGAGAAAACAAAGGGAGGAGAGAAAGAACCTGTCTGACAAACAATGTGGAAGAGAGAAGAGATGGAGAAAGGAGGCCAGAAAATGGAAATGCAGTCAAGGCAGCGTGAGAGAGTAACAGATAGAGGAAAAAGATTTAAGGACAGGGAAGTGTGTCTCTATAAGCAGCGAGGTTATAGCAGTCCATTTAAGAGGACTTGTTCTCTTGACCTTCCTGGACACCACTAATTAACTTCTTTCAACTATGTCAGTCTTCCGCGTTCAATCATTAAAGCCTCCGTGGTCGAAATTATGAGAAATTAGCTGAGAAGAGGGCAAACACACAAGCAGATTCAACAGAGACGTGTATGGGTGAGATATTGAGCTGAGTGGCTGCTATTGGCCCAAACCATAGGCAGAGTTTGTGGGGGGACCAGAGCCAATCAGCCAAAAATATTCTGTGAATAGCTGTGAATAAAAAAATATAATATAAAATGAGAAAATTCATATTTTCTCATTTTATTTGTCTTATCTTATTTTAGTCTAGACTGAGTATAGCTGTTTGTTGTTTTAAAAGTAATTTTTTTTAGGCTGATCAAATTTTTAGGCTGCTCTGCCTCAGCGGTCTAACAGCGCTCGGCAATGTCAAAATGAAATTAAATGATGCTTGAAATTAGGCATTTATATAGCGCTTTACTGTACGTGATTGAGATGGCCAACCGAATCAAATGCGGTGGGTCTTACAGCCTTACTGTTACTGTTATAACGCGACGAGAGTTCGTGAAAGATGCAAGTAGATTCAAGTATTAGACAACCGTTTCACGGTAGAAATGTTCAGCGACCGACAGTTATAGACTATCTAGGGATGCAAACTACTCAACTTTTTATGATATTTCGCCATTTTGAATTGAAAACATGCGATCATGATTCATGTAATTCATAAATAAATTTCTTATTATTATCAATGTTGAAAACAGTTATTTTATTTATTTGAAAACAATTATTTTATTTAAATAGTTCAATTCATTTATTAACAATTTTTTTTACTTTTCTCAGGATTCTTTGATGAATAGAAATTTACAAAAAAACAGCAATTATTAGAAAAATAAATATTTTGTAACATTCTGAGTCTTTACTGTCACTTTTGATCAATTTAATGTGTCCCTGTTGAATAAAACTTCTTAAAAAAAAAAAAAAATCTTACTGAACCCAAACTTTTGAATGGTACTGCTTATCTGTCTAAATAATAAAAGACCTGTTGGGAAACATTATCTTTGCAATTACATTTTGTATAAGCATAGAAAATTCACATTTCACCTTTTATCATGTTTATAACTTTCTGAAAGAGCAGGAAGAGCTAAACTGTCATGTTTGATGATTTCCATCCCAGATTAGGTCCATAGAGAATCTGTACATCAAGAAGATCATATGATTATGCTACAGCTAAAAATAAGAGTAGTGTTTTCAGCTCCATTCACTTTGACACATATTTTATCATGCTTATATATTTATTGTGTGAAATTTCTTTCAAAATCAGCACAGAAACCGTGAGAAAAGCCCATAGAATTGTGCTATTCAGCAAATCGAATGCCATGTGCTGAGCCTTTAGGTCACAGTCTTCTAGCGAAAGGTTCCTTTCATTCAGCTTAATGAAAACAACACCAGTGGAATACAGCTTTATGCAGCTTTAAGTTACAAATGGGGTCACGTCGCTCTCCTGCCTGCACCAGAGGTAACGATATTAGCACGCACAGTAGGGATTTTATTTTGGGGAGATAGCGTGGTGCATCTGGGTGACGTGTGATCGAGTGTCTGCGCTCAGTGATAGACCTCGCGGGGCGCATCTAAAAGTAAATCAAAAGTAAATGAGCATTCTGTGATACAGGCTCATTCCTCATTCTTGGCCTTAATGTGATTCTGCAGCGGCTCTATTTGTGGTCCAGCAATCCGACAAATAACAGAATTAAGTTTCTTAACTTTACTGCTGTCACCAAGAGGAAGATCTTCAATGCAAAACTT